TCCTGCCTCGGCCTCCTGAGTAGCTGGGACTACAGGCATGAGCCACCACACCACTAATTTTTGTATTTTTAGTTGAGATGGAGTTTCACTATGTTGTCCAGGCTGGTCTTGAACTCCTGACCTCAAGTCATCTGCCCATCTCAGCCTCCCAAAGTGCTACAATTACAGGCGTGAACCACTGTGCCCAGCTAGTAGTAACAAGGTATTGATTGAACCAGAGTGTGGTGTGCAGGGTGGGGTGTGTCAAGATCGAGAATCAGTGAGCAGCACAGGGGATGTTCTGGGTCGGGAGTCAGACCTTCCCATTGGCCCCCTACCCACCTGCACACTTAATTTGTTTTCTTTCCCCTCATTCTACTGCCTTGCCCAGACTTCAGGTCTACCAGCTCCACTTCGTGATTTCTTTGGCCTTCAAAATTCAGTTCAATAAGGAAAGTTTTAGCATTATTTTCATGTAGGTCCTTGACATTTCTTGCTAAGGTTATCAGTAGATTTCTTTTTTATATGGTGTAATCATTCAGGCCATCGCTCAAATGCCATCTCTCTAGAGAAGCCTTCCTTGACTAACATACCAAAAATGGTTCCAGTGCCACTACCTGGTATGCCAGCCTGTCCTCTTGTGTCCTGTGGTCCTGACGTTCTGTGATAATGCTATGTAATTCTCTGCTGTCCCATAGGGTAGCCACAAGCCACATGTATTCATACAGTCACTATTGAGCACTATATAATGTGGCTGGTGCAACTGACACATTACCATTTTAGTTGAATGAAATTTACATGAATTTACATTGAAATAGCCATCTACGGCTGGTGGCTACGGTATTGGACAGCATGGCTCTGTTTGTCCACTGGAATGTGGAGGGTGAGGATTTGGATTTACCTAGAATGTTGGAAACGGGTTTATAACGTCGGGAAAAGTCCACACCGAGGCAATGGATTACTCACCAAGGCTAGTTTACTTCCCACAGGAAGGGTGCAGCTCACTGGCAGCCTTGCCACGAGAGCACACCTGAACAAAGGAGACAGGAATGTTTATAACTTTCATAACCTGATGCAAGTGCCCTACTGCTGTGTCCGATTTCCATTTGCCAGAATGGGACCTCACATTCTATGCTTGACCTGATTGGCTAAAAACTTGGAAATTTCCTGAGTAGATAAAGGGAAAGAAGACAAGGAAGGAGAGGAAGCCAGTCAGGAGAAGGTCAGGAGGGTTTCCAAATAAGGAATGGTGTGCACCGGGGTTTGGAGCTTGCCTAGTTCTGTTCAGACATGTTGGAGCGAGTCAAGGTAGCTGATTTAAGACGTAGCTGATTTACAGAATATATATACATTTTAAGATACAAGGTCTCACTCCTTTGCCCAAGCTGGCCTTGAACTCCTGTGCTCAGGCAATCCTCCCACCTCAGCCTCCTGAGTTGCTGGGATTACAGGCAGGAGCCACTGTTCCTGGTTATTGTATATTTTAAAATAACTAAAAGACTGGAATTGGAAGTTCCTTACACAAAGAAATGATAAATGCTTGAGATAATGGCTATGCTAATTACCCTGATTAGATCATCACACCTTGCGTGCTTATATCAAAACATCATATAAATATTTGTATTTATATATTTTTAAATTATATTTCTATGTGATATTTTGATATATTTTGTAATGATCACTCTACATATGTACATACTTATACATATGTACAAACCAAAGAAACCATACTTATTTATACACATGTACATACATACAAACCAAATAAACTAGGATATGGCTATCCCAGTTCTATTAAAAAATTGAGATTTTTTTGTCTTTTTTTCCCCCCAAGTATGCCCTACATATTTACATTTTCTTCTTTATTGATATTTCCTATTGTTCTTTTTTTTGTTTTCGAAAATAATTTCTTCTTGAGTCAGTTGTGATGATTTATACCCGTATAGAGATTACTAGTTTGATCAAAATCATCTCATTTATTGTTAAAAATTGTTTGGTGGTATTATCTCCTAAATGAAGATTTTCCTCTCTCTCTGTGATTATATTCCATTTCCCATTCATTACATTTTTGTTTTATTCCAGTTTTTCTTGGTTTGGCTTTCCTATGATTTGTGTCTTTTACTTTCTTTACAAAGAACAGCCTTGGTATTTATCAATTCTATTTCTTTTTAATTTCACAATTGTTTTCTGCTTTTACCATAACATTCCCACTTGTGCTTCCGTGGATTAATTTTGTGTTCTTTTTCTAGTTCCTTCAATTAATTTATTTATTTTCATTTGCTAAAAACTTAATAATAACAGTACGTAAAGTCCCAAATCTTTTTCTGACTACTGTGGGATTCTTTCCATGTGCTTTGGCATGTAGTATTACCACTGCCATCGGTATAGATGGTGTTACAGTTCTTACTTCCTCTTACATCCAGGGAATACTAAGGAGACTCCTTTTAAATTTGCAAGAGGTTTGACTTCTAAAAGTGCTATGCTCCTTTTTTTGATGTATAGTCTTACCCATTTCTTCTGTTTTTCTCTAGGAACTGAACTCAGGTTTTGTTGAAGGTAGCAAACTGCCTAGCTAAAACTGCTCAATGTTTTCCAGCTAAAAATTGCTCAGGTATTTCCTGCAGCTAGTTAGGGCATGTTACCCAGCTCTGACAAGAGAGATGGAGATGCAGGTCCTTGAAGAGAGTCCCCTCGGAACAAAAAGGCAAAGACATACCAGCAGAAAACCCATTTGCTCTTTCCTTCTCCTCCTCACTGAAATGCAAATGCTATGTCTGGAGGTATGGGAAAAAGAAAGCATAAGGATAAAAATCTAACAAGCTAAGAATGACAGGGCAGAAAGATAGAAAGGATCAGTGTCCCTGATGGCATCATTGTACCAGCAAGACTCATGGTGATGTAAGTCAAGTGAATGCCCAGCTGCTGCTAGCTGTTTTTTGTTATTTGCAGCTAAATGCATTGTACCCTGTAGCAAGAGAATATGGCTTGTCAAAAGTCTGCTTTTGTATATTAATTAGATATGCCAACCGGATGCAGTGGCTTACACCTGTAATCCCAGCACTTTGGGAGGCCAAGGCAGGTGGATCAGTTGAGGTCAGGAGTTCGAGAGCAGCCTGACCAACATGGCAAAACCCTGTCTATCCTCAAAACTAGCTGGGCGTGGTGGCTCCTGCCTATAGTTCTAGCTACTTGGGAGGCTGAGGCAGGAGAATCTACTGAACCCAGGAGGAGGAGGTTGCAGTGAGTTGAGATTGCACCATTGCACTCCAGCCTGGGCGACAGAGCAAGACTGTCAAAACAAAACAAAACAAAACAAAACAAAAAATCATGATATGCCAATTGCTATAGCATCTAGACTGCAAATGTACATCACAGCAATCTAGTTCTCTGTTCTCTTTGTTTAGGGGTGGGCATGGAGCTTAATTCGGACCAATGAGACAACGAGAGAAGTCCATTGGGTTAGGAGTGCTTCTCGGCAAGGTTTCTTTGCTTCTAAAAGAGGAATGCGAGGAAAAAGTCCCAATCTTGGTGTAGATGTTGGTGTGGGGGGATGTATATAAAGCCTATAGCTGCTGAAGCCATCTGGCAAACTTGAGGGGAACAGCTGACTCTCTGATCTGACAGAATACAGAAATGGAAAGAATTTAGATCCTGATATGGTTGAGAGGCTGCCCTACCTTGGGACTTCTTTTTCTGTGAGTTAACAAGTTTGCTTATTGTTAAGTTGCTTTAGTGGGTTTGCTATTCCTTGTAGCTAAAACATCTTCTTTATCACAGCACTATCTACTTCATTCTCTCATTCTGCTATCCTTATTACAAGTATATTTACAAGCTCATTGTCACTCATGTCATCAGTTTCATCGGCACCAGCAACAGCATCACCAGCAACATTTATTGAGTGTTTTATTTTTCTCTCTTAAATCTTACATCAATCCCTAAGCTCAGATGCTATTTTTTAAAAAATATTTTTTTTTAAGGACTGGGTCTTGCTCTGTCACCCAGGCTGGAGCACAGTCGCATGATCATACCTCACTGCAGCCTCAAACTCCTGGGCTCAAGTGATCCTCCTGCTTCAGTCTCCCCAAGTGCTGGGATTACAGGTGTGACCACTATGCCCTGCCCTATTATTATTGATTCAAATTTACAGATGAGGAAAATCAGGCAAAGGAAGGCTACATGATGTCCTAAATTGCTTATTTAGTAAGTGGCAGAGCCAGGATTGAAACTCAGACCTGAGTGACTCCTAGACTAGTCCACACCACTGTGATATGACCTTTCACATTTTTTCTTTCATCCATCATCATGATATCTTTCTCTTCTGAGTTCCAGGGAAGTTTCTCAAGTTGGACGACCAATTTTCTACAGGATTTTCCTGTGATGTCCAACTCCTTCATTTACTGCTTCCATTATATTTCACATCACCTGCAATTTCCCTTATATCTAAAACCAATTGCTCCTATATCTAAGATGCAACATCCTTCTGAATTATAGTGATAATGCAGTAGGGTGTTTTGAAGGTTTCTGTATGTTTCCTGTAGAAAAGTTATGTCACAGGGGGATGTACACTTCCATTTCCCAGTAGTTTACTTTTAAGCCACAAGTATAGCACTTTCCCTTGTTAGTTCAATCTTACAGGTATATAATTTTCTGTATTTCCAGTGTTAGAATTTGAGATTCAGAGAGCTATGAGTGCCTTTTTTAATCTTTCAGTCCTAGGAAAAGGAGAAACAGGGCCGCCTGTCGTTTCTGTGGTTTTATTTTGCCAGTTTAATTTCTAATTGACTGTGGAAGCATCAAGAGAGCTATAGCTCAAGGCAGTTGAATGGCCCAGAACTTCACAGGTGAGCCACGTCAATTCTTTTCCATGTTTATTGTGGAAGCCAAGGTCAGCAGAGGCCGTGCCTCTTGCTCTAAGTGCCCAGACCACCCCCATTAGGAGCCTCCCACAGCAACGACTCCACTCAACCCACGATAAGTGAGGTTGGCACTGTGTCTCTCTCTTTGTACATTTTGTTTTCTGAAGTTGCTTGTAGGATGAAGCTTTGAGTCCTTGTTACCATCAGCTTAATCTCCAGCCTCTCTGAATTGGAGGATTTTGTTTGTGTTTGATTAGAGCCTGTTGCCAGAAGAAGGTGCCAAAGTCAGACATAAAACAGGGAACTTTGATGTGGTGTCAAGTCTTTTCCTGATGTTATTGATCCTCTTTTCCTTTTTCTTTTTTGTTATTTTTGATCCCCTTTTCACTTCCCAAAGATTGACCTTTGCTGTCCTACAGGGCAGTACAAAGACGGGGTCTTCCTGTCTCTGCCTCTCCTGCCCTCAGACTCCTATCCTGGGTCTTTTCTTTTTTTTATAGAGATAGGGCCTAACTTGTTTTTTTGTGTTTTGTTTTGTTTTGTGAGATGGGGTCTGGCTCTGTCACCCAGGCTGGAGTGCAGTGGTGCGATCTTGGCTTACTGCAACCTCTGTCTCCTGGGTTCAAGTGATTCTTCTGCCTCAGCCTCCTGAGTAGCTGGGATTACAAGTGTGCACCACCACACCCAGCTAATTTTTGTATTTTTGGTAGAGACAGGGTTTTGCTATGCTGACCAGCCTAGTCTTGAACTCCTGACCTCAGGTAATCCACCTGCCTTGGCTTCCCAAAATGCTGCGATTCCAGGCATGAGCCACCACACCCAGCCGGGTGTCTCACTTTGTTTCCCAGACTGGTCTTGAATTCGTGGCTTCAAGCAGTCCTTCCGCCTTGGCCTCCTGAAGTACTGGGATTACAGGCATGAGCCACCATCATGCCTGGCTTACTCTGAGCCTTATATATGCCCTCTTTATAATTCTTATTTGGGTAACACCCTGTTCTCCCTCACGAAATCCATACCCCTTCTACAAGAAGAGATCTTTCCTGGTTCCTACCTGAGTACATCTTGGATGTCCATGAGCCTAGTGAAAAAGATGATGTTTGCTTTTGCAGAAGTTTCAGGCTGGAGACTGGGCTGGAGTCCAGGGAAGGTGAAGAGTGGTTCATGTTTAGGGTAGTTTTTCTGTATGGAGAACTGCTAGGAAATCAACAAATCAACTGTCTATAGGGCAATCTTTTTTTTTTTTTTTTGAGATGGAGTCTCACTCTGTCTCCAGGCTGGAGTACAGTGGCGCCATCTCGGCTCACTGCAACCTCCACCTCCTGGGTTCAAGTGAGACTCCTGCCACAGCCTCCCGAGTGGCTGGGATTACAGGCTTGTGCCACCACGCCCAGATAATTTTTGTACTTTTAGTAGAGACAGGGTTTCGCCAAGTTGGCCAGGGTGGTCTCCAACTCCTGACCTCAGGTGATCCGCCCACCTTGGCCTCTCAAAGTGCTGGGATTCCAGGTGTGAGCCACTGCACCCAGCCTGTAAGGCAATTTTCAAATAAACATCGCAGTCTAGTCCTATATAAATAAAAAATATTTCTCTTGTTAGCAGGACTCGGTCTCTGCTTTTATGAAAAATGGCCCTCTCTGTTGTGCTGAAAGGTATTGGGTCATTTCTTGCTCTGTGTGAGTGCTAGGACATTCAGCTGGGCCTCACCTAATTTTAATTTTTACTTTACTTATCAACAAACAGTATTAAATATGCTGATACTGCTAAATACGATTAACTCTTTTAATGTATAATCTCCTGAAGATGGAAAGATTTTTTGAATTTTTTTCAAACTCCTCCCTTCACACAGTGTATCCCAGATGCTGGTGGATCACTACCCTCTCCTGCCTTTCCTCAGTGATCTCAATGTAATTAACTTGTAGTCTCTGCTGAGTGCATGCTGGAAAACTGGAGAACTCTCCCCATGACTTTTTTTCTTTTTTTAAAGGAATCCCAGGATCTTGGGTGCCATGGGTCACGCCTGTAATTCCAGCACTTTGGGAGCCCGAGGCAGGTGGATCATTTGAGATCAGGAGTTCGAGACCAACTTGGCTGACATGGTGAGACCCTGTTCTACTAAAAATACAAAAATTAGCCAGAAGTTTAGTATGATGATATATGACTGTAATCCCAGCTACTCGGGAGGCTGAGGCAGGAGGATCACTTGAACCTGGGAGGCGGAGGTTACAGTGAGCCCAGATTGCACCACTGCACTGCAGCCTGGGTGACAAAGCCAGACTCTGTCTCTAAATAAATAAATAAATGAATAAATAAATTAACCACGCATGGTGGTGCACATCTATACTCTCAGCGACTTGGGAGTCTGAGGAGGGAGGATTGCTTGAGCCCAGGAATTCCAGGCTGTAATAAGCTATGATGGTGCCACTGCAGTCCAGTCCAGCCTGGGTGACAGAACAAGACATTGTCTCCAAAAGAAAGGGCATGACTCTTCTGTCCACCACCTGCACCACACATTAGTTTGAATGGAGAACTTACTATACCTCAACAGAATTTATTCACACAGTAAAAATGTAAGAGCCATGTGGACTTTTCTAAAGATTTCTGCAAGGAGTATGTATTCATGTACATGGGTTTCCACTGCACGCCCCTTGCCAAGTAATCCCATCTCCTTGCCATCCCTGCCTTCCCCAGCATCTCCTTAGGCCATCATATTCCCAGGGGTGTATGCGTATGCTGTGCCTTGCTTGAAGGCTCCTTTCCTTCTTCTACCCTCATTTCTCCGGGGAGCTTTAGATTCTTTCCCTAAGTGGAATGGGCCCTCACTCTATCTTTTTTCTTTTGAGTTGGAGTCTTGCTCTGTTGCCCAGGCTAGAGTACAGTGGCGTGACCTTAGCTCACTGCAACTAAAAAGGGAGTTATTTTCTCAGCATCTCTGCTATCTGTTAACCTTGAAAGAGCTGCAGATGAATGCTATCTCTGCCGGCTGGAGCCTGGCACTGGTTCATGCCCCCACGTCTCCACAGACCAGGCTCCCTCCTGGAAACACCTCTGCCAACAAACAGCTTGTTGCTTTTGTCTTGTCTCTGTAAGCCCCCTCTCCTGCTAGTCCCCACTCATGCTGCATATAAATTAGCAAATCAATAAAGACAAAAGATTGTAAGGTCAAACATCCAGCGAATAAACAATAACAGAGTTCCACCTCAGCTCCCCTTTAGCGTTGTAAGCCTATAAAAGGGGAGAGAAGCTGCAACTTGGGGAGCTCGGTGAATGAGGCTGTAGCCCCCATGCAGCTCCTGGCCAAGTAAAAAGCCACTTCCTTCCTCAGTTCTGTGTTCAAAAGGTTTGTTCCCTGCCGCTCCTGCTTCATAACCCCTACCTCCTGGGTTTAAGCTATTCTTGTGCCTCAGCCTCCTGAGTAGCTGGGACTACAGGCGCTCACCACCACACCCAGCTAATTTTTGTATCTTTTGTAGGGACAGGGTTTTGACATGTTGGCCAGGCTTGTTTGTGTGTGTGTATGTGCATGTGTGTAGATTATGTCTTCAGTTTTAGACATGTTAAGGTTGAGATGCTTGTGAAATAATTGAGTAAAAGCTGGAGATATGAGTATGGACTTCAGGGAAGAGGCAGATGGGCAGGACAGAGAAAATTTCAGGGTCATCAACATAAGGGTGATATCTACATTCTGAGAAATAGACGGGATCACTCAGGCAGAGACTATCTGTAGAGAAGAGCTCTCTATACAGAAATGGGCTCTGAGATTTCCAGCATAGAGATGGTGAGCAGAAGAGGAAGGGCCTGTAAAGGACACTGAGAGGAGCACCAGTGAGGCACACAAAATCCTTGAGAGAACGATGGCAGGCAGGAGGAGCTTCAGGAGAAGCGGTCAGCTGAGAGCTGCCGAAAGCGCCCCCCAGCCAAGAGCAGAATGCTCTCTTCTTGCACACACTAAGTATGTTTTTTAGAGGGTGTTACTATTCTTGACCTTAGTAAGAGAGTATGAAAATAAGCTATCAGCCTCCCATTCTTTTCATGATTAGTGGTGGTTTCATCTGGCTCCATTAGGATTAGGAAACATTACTAAAACTTATTTATAATATATATTTATTTTAGCAATTGTGGAGTTGGACCAAGTTGACTGTCCTTCACTGGGACCGGAATAACAGCCTCATTAGAATTTCAGTGGGCCTAGGTTAGAAATTAAACGTTAATTTTTCTATAGGCCAATATATAAGAATGGGTAACATCCCTCAGAAAAATGTTCCAAAAAACGTTTTATTAAAGTTTTACTTTTTTTTTTTTTGAGATGGAGTCTTGCTCTGTCACCAGGCTGGAGTGCAGTGGCACAATCTTGGCTCACTGAAACCTCCGCCTCCCGGGTTCATGCGATTCTCCTGCCTCAGCCTCCCGAGTAGCTGACACTACAGGTGCGCGCCACCATGCCCAGCTAATTTTTGTATTTTTAGTAGAGATGGGATTTCACCATGTTAGCCGGGATGGTCTCGATCTCTTGACCTCGTGATCCACCTGCCTTAGCCTCCCAAAGTGCTGGAATTAAGGATGTGAACCACCACGCCCAGTCTGAACTTCTACTTTTAAGACTATTGTGTATTCAAATCCTGGGTCCTCTTTCACACAGTTTCCTCTAATGGGGGCATTTTACAAATATAATAACCAGGATATTGATATTGATACAGTCTAGTTACTTTTTCATCACCACAAAGAACCTGGTGTTACTCTTTCATAGCCACACCTGCCTCCTTCTCTCCACCCCGTCCCTCACCCCTGGCAACCCATTAATCTGTTATCCATTTCTACAATTTTGTCATTTCAAAAATGGTAGATAAATGGAATTGTACAGTTTCTCATCTCTGAGATTGGCTCTTTCCTTTTTTTTTTTTTTTTTTTTTTTTTTTTTTTTTTTTT